GTACACATTTGCAAAAGACAATTATTGAATGTCATGTGAGCTGTGTTAAGTGTTTTTTCTTTTCAGCGACCAGGAGATCTCTTTTTCTTCGTCGCCTAGCGCCGTATCAAAATTGACTCACTTCCACAGGACGTGGCATGTGGCATAGGGCTGGTTCTGGTGGCGCGCTTGGGTCCCGTTTGGCGCCGTTGCAGGCGTGGCACTTGGCAACATCTGCTAAACACTTTGCGTAGCAGGCGTAGCAGACATGCCTTGGCCACATCGACCTTCACTTTGCATGCAGGTGGCGGCATTCGACCTTTCGTCCTTTACTTCGCACTTGGCAACATCAATCTTCACTTTGTATGGCAGGTGTAGCAGTTGGAGACGACTGTTCAGGCGTGCCACTTAGCAACAAAAACCTTCACTCTACAGGCGTGGCGCTTCCAGACATAGACCTCCACTTTGCGTGGCAGGCGTGGCACGTGTCGACATTTAACATGGACCCCCAATTTGTAAAGACATCGACCTTTACTTTGCGTCAAGTGTGGACATGGGCTCCACTTTGCATGCAGGTGTAGCACTTATGGCACTGAGTTGGCTCTGGTAGCGCGCTTCGGCTCCGTTTTGCCGCTTGTCGTCGCGGCTGTTTGTGTAGGAGGCGTCGCGCTTGGGGACCACTTTGCGTGGCAGGTGTGGCACTTACAGCGCTAGACTGGCCCCGGTGGCGCGCTGGGGTCCGGTTTGGCGCCGTGGCTGTTTCTGTGGCAGGCGTGGCATCAAGCTTCACTTTGCGTGGCAGGCTTGGCGATATCGACCTCCACTTTGCGTGTTTGTGTGGAGAATCACTTTGGGTGGTGGCGTGGCACTTAGAGACATTGACCTACTTTGCGTGGCAGGTGTAGCGCTTGGCGACATCCATCTCCACTTTGCGTGGCAGGCTTGGCGACATCGACCTCCACACTTTGCCTGGACTCCCGCGAAACGATTTGCACGCGTCATGGAGCAAACGCCGGAAGACACGGAGTTACTGAAGATGCCGTCTGAGTATGGTAGGTTTCTGTGTGTGAGCATGCGATTGATGCGCGGTGCGAAAATCTCTCAAATCTCTCGTCGCCTTGCGCCACGCAAAGTGGAGGTCGATGTCGCCAAGTGCCACGCCTGCCTGTGCGGACAAGTCGTGTGTGAGTAAGTTGTGTGCAAGCAAGTTGTGTGTGAGTAAGTTGTGTGTGGACAAGTTGTGTGTGTGAGAACCATCTAGGGGAACGGGGTCTGGGCACTCTGTGACTGACCCAGTTCAACCAAGCCAGGTCACAGAGTGGGATATCTGGATTGGCCATCCAGACGATTTTCTGCAATTTCCGATGTCAATTTCAAGTTCTGTAAGGTTTTCGCAATCTGTCAAGGTGGGAACGATTTGTCTTGGTTGATAGGGAAGGATCAGCTTCCAAATTTTTCATTCTGCACTGGCTATGGCGATGGTAGCTTTTTGATACTTGGTCGGGTCTCTTCGTCGACCCATTCCTGTCAGGTGTATTTGGAGTGTTTGTGCACGTAAGATGCATTCCACAACAAATTCGCAATGACCATTCTGAGCAAGTGTGTGACTCATGCTGGATTCGTCAAGGTGGCATGAACCCTTCGGGGAATACCTTTCTAGGTAGGAAGTTCGAACCTCCGACCTCATCTCTGATTTTACAGTTTTCAACTTAGTAATTCGTCTAAGTAAAGTGAAACAGTCGGCCATTTGTCATCTTTTCACCCGTCGATGGGTTCTGTGTTGAAACAACTTGCCGCTGTACTGGGCCTCTCCTTCTTCTCTTGTGACGTTGTGACGATGTGCATAGCTGGAAGCCGCGACAACATCTTCATTTTCTGTGCTGCTCGAGAGACAGACCCATGTCATTTTGGTCATGTGCACTTAATTCATTTCCGATTACTGACAGCCGTAATAGGCTTGAATTGACCCCCGAGGGCCCTGAGCCTTGTCACGAATTCTTGCATTGGTTTGTGGATGCATCAATTTTCATCAACTAGTTCCCCATTGGTCCCCTATCTCATGCGTGCTCCCTCTCTAGGTCAGGTTTGGGTCCTTCGCATGCCAAGGTAGGTTTGGCTCTCGCCTTGTAGGTTGTGTCAAGCGCTTCTGTCCGCCCCCCCCCTCCTCTGGTCGGTGTTTGGCCCGTCGTCCGTCCGCTTTTTCTTTTCCCTTACCTTTTCAGGGTTTGCCCGCTCTGGGCTAGATGTGTTGGTGTTGGTGTTTTCCCTTTTTCCTCTCCTCTTTTGCGTTCCCCGTCTCGTGTCCCGGTTAAGTAGCTGTCATCTCATTTCCATCGTGATCTCGTTTCCATTTCCCTTTCATTTTCACCTTCATCTCATTTGTCGGAGCCTTAAAAAGGTGAACCGTCTGAAGAGATGTAAAACTCTTAAGTTTCGCAGGGGAACTGGGCACTCTTTGACTGACCCAGGTCAACGAAGTTAGGTCACAGAGTGGGATATCTGGATTGGCCATCCAGACAGTTTTCTGCAATTTCCGATGTCAATTTCAAGTTCTGTAAAGTTTTCGCAATCTGTCAAGGTGGGAACGATTTGTCTTGGTTGATAGGGAAGGATCAGCTTCCAAATTTTTCATTCTGCACTGGCTATGGCGATGATATCTTTTTGATACTTGGTCGGGTCGCTTCGCCGACCCATTCCTGTCAGGTGTAATTGGAGTGTTTGTGCACGCAAGATGCATTCCACAACAAAATTCGCAATGACCATTCTGAGCAAGTGTGTGTGTGTGTAAGTTGTGTGTGAGTAAGTTGTGTGTTGCCAAGTTGTGTGTTGACAAGTCGTGAGTGAGTAAGTTGTGTGTGGACAAATCGTGTGTGAGTAAGTTGTGTGTGGACAAATCGTGTGTGAGTAAGTTGTGTGTGTGTGTGTGAGCAAAACCAGCACCAAGATGAATCCAGCAATTTGGGTACGAAGAAGTTAGGTGTTGAAACATTGAAACGCGTCGAAATTTGCAGACTAGAAGGTTCATAAGATTCTCATGACAGCGTTTCAAGCAGCAGCGTGGCACTATTGCAAGGGTGATCTTCCTCATCTTCATTCCTGTCAGGTGATCTCCCACAAATTTCAGTTTTCTGGCAGCAGGCATTGGTGCAGTGATGATGGTCCAATAAGTCCCCGCGTCTATCGTTCCTAGTGGAAGGCGTGGTGAAGGTTCAAACGGTGGAACCAATTCGACTAGAACCAGAAACAGATCACGTATCCGAACTGATCGAGCTACGTGGATAGCTGAGATGAAGGACAGCTTGGCCGCAACCTTCGTGGTAACAGCAGTGAATTTCAGAAGGTCTCAGGTCTACACCATGTACAACAACCTACGTCTTGCATGGTTGCTGTGGTGAATGAGGAGTATGACATGATAGACCTCTTCATCACGTACCTGGAACTTGTCCCTTGCCCCCAGATTAAACCCTAAAAAATTGAATGACATTTTAAGTGGAAAGGCAAGTGGCCCCGGTCCCCCCTAACCAATGTCCCCAAGTCGCCTTTAAATGTCCGGTGTCCCCAGATTAAACCCTAAAAGGCTAAAAGGTTGAATGATTTTTAAAATAGAAAAACACGTGACCCCTGTTCCGCCCCTAACCAATGTCTCCAAGTCCCACCTAAATGCCCCTTGTCCCCACATTAACCCCTGAAAGGTTGAATGACCTATTAAATAGAAAGGTAATTGAGGTAGGGGCGAGTGCAACCCTAGTTGGGGTAGGGGCGAATGTGGCCTCCGTCCAAGTTGAACAGATGGAAACAATTATGCCGTTGCCGAAGGTGGGGATAGATCCTCCAGAAGCATGGTTATGGGAGAAAAGCAAGGAATGCATCGAGGAACACGTGGATGAAATCCGACCCATCTATGAGTATTTGCGCTACAAATTTGAACGAAATCATGAACGAGAAGGACAAAAAGCAGGTGCAGAAGTTCAAGTGCCAATAGAAGTGAAGAAAATGACGTCGCACGAGAGTGCAGACCTCGTGAGTATGAAATCGTCATGCGGACGGATGTTCCCCGTGATCAAGCAATTCAGCCGGCGCAAGAGATAGCAGATCAACATGGTTGATATCTGGTGGTTGAATTTCCAGATAGAGGAGAACATGCGATGGAGACCTGAACCTGAACCCAACCAGAGTAGCAATGAAACCACACTTGAATCTCAAATCACAGGAAATTTAAAGAACACGGATGTTGGCAATGATAGGATTGTTCAGATGATGGCTGATGGTCGAGGTTCTTTTCCTCGAGCAATTGAGTTGCTGACAAGGCGTGCGATTAGCGCTGAAGAACGAAGAGATTGAGAAAAAACGCAAGTTATCAAAGATCAAATTGACAACTTAGCTTGGAAACAATGGAAATGTATGGACATTGGTGTGGAGAAATCTTTACACCCCACCTTGCCAAAGGTTCCTTGCATTTTGCAGGTTTTGGCACATTTGCGCACCTCACCTTGCATTTTCACCTACAAATTCCACAGCCCTTGGAAATTGTTGTTAGCAAGGAAAACTGCTACATGCATCTTTCATCAGCACACTGCAGGGCTTCGCAAGCACCAATTGCATTCACCACTCGGTTTTTGCTTCACCAAAAATTGCCACAAGCACTGATTGCCATATGCACTTTCAGATCGAACTTGCTGGAGTGGGCCGTCGTGTTTTGAGAGGAATGCAACATCAAATTCTGTATGGTGTCCGTGATATGTTGTGGGCTGACATGAGCGTCCCCGAAGTTCGTGAGCACGGATTGAACATAATTTTGCATGTACCCGTGTTGGCACACAATTTGATGAATCTGTTGGTGAAGTAGAATTCGGGAAATTGTTATTGAACAAGATCAAGGGAAACAGTGCGTGAATGTCCAAAAAAAACACAAACATCCGAACAAATGCATATCCGCAACCGCACAAATACGAACATGTCGGATATGTTCAGTCAATTTTCAATTTGCCGTTGTTGGCCCAGAATTTTGAGTGATTTTAATCGGGGCTCTTCCAACAAGCTCTCCTCGAAGAGGCCTGGGTTTCGCGCCAATATGTTTATATTGGAATCAAAAGAATCAATCAGCGGGCGCACAGGTATGCCAACGTTAAAGGATGTGGTAAAGGCACGGTTTTCTATTTTTTTTTCATTTGCCAACCCGCAAACTAGTACTGCAGGCGTTTGGGGCAATGTGTGCAGCATTGGTCGCCTTGGAGGGCATGAACTTCTTGGATGCGATGACATTTCAGGCTGGATGGCAGGTTGAATTTCCGGTCATTGCCAGGATTATTTTCGCAGAATTGGTTAAACAACAGGTCCAAATATATATAGTTTTCGTGTTTTTTCATGTTATGTTTCACCTGGGGTTGATTCGTTTCAGCTTTAAATATTACGCAAATGTCATGCAATTTCATGGAAAAATGTTTTCGACAAAAACATGTTTATCACATTTTTTCATATGACGCAACATGTACACATCCAGTCACCATTGTCTATCCATATGTTGAAACAACCATACCCTGTTGTTGGGTTTAGCATACAGCATATTGTTTCTGCCAATTATGAACAACTATTTTCACACGCAACCCTGATTTGCGACGTGGAATCGTTTTCGGGTCTCCCATACTTGGGCTAGAACTTGCTGAGTACATTGGACTAGGTCTACCTGAGGTATCGCTTTCAAGTTTTGCAATCGATCCGTGTTCACGTTGATTCTTTAAACGGGCCGTGCAACAGTCTTTGTGAGGATCTTTGCAAGTTGAGAGCTGTTAGCAAGGATGTGAAAGGCCAGCCGTTTTGCTGTGGGCCCCACTTGGGATGCGATGGATCTAGCGATTGGGATATGTGCAAATCCGGCCGAAGAGTCAGGTATACGCATTATAGATGGATGTATACATATATGAATCATATATGTATATAATTCATATTTATGTGTATTAATGTAACTATTAACATTTATGTATACTGTATACGTAAATAAAAATGTATACAGGATACAATACCATACTGGGGACTCGTTGGCATGTGATGAAATTTGTCCAGGCAGCTTGTGCCGATCACACTGGCACTGGCACAGTGCAGCAACAAGGGCGTTCCTGGGCATAGTTAGGAACGAAAATTGCAATGATTACGACCATTTGTTTTGGGGCGTAAACTGAATCAGGGACCCAAAGTTTGTTGGTTTCTTATGAACGATGACACAATTGAAAAGTCTTTGATGAATTGTTTTGGAAACGCGCTGGGCCAGCCACTTGCATGGATAAACTTGCCCAAAACCCAAATAGGGTCTATTGCCGAATCTTCAATCTTTTCCAGACCAACCCAGCGTTTGAAGTTTTCCCTGTCCAGGCTTTCCCATGTTTTCCATTGTTTTCCCAGGTTGCCTGATTTTGATCTGACTCCAGCCCTTTTCCTGGGTGCTGCGTTGCAACGCTGCTTCCAGGCAAGGGAATGCAGCTCGTTTGTGGGGCGAAAGTTCAAGGTGTTGGCCATATTTGGCAGGTTTACAGATGTTTACAGAAGTGTTTTGTCGATGATTTTCGTTTCTTGGTCTTTAGAGGAGTTCATAGTGCATCAGCGATTTGTGATGGTGTTATTTGTTTTGGATCTTTGGAGGTACTAAAAGTTTGCACGAACCCAATGACCCCGCTTTTGAAACCGTTTTAGAGAGGGTGGCTGTCAATGTTAGCCCTTGCGGGTTTTGTCCCAGGTGATGCCGCTCCTCCTGCGATTGACCTCTGCCCAGCACTACACGATGCCACGATCGGTTCGTTCCACCACTCCGCAACGAGTCGTGCTGCAGGATCACAAGATTGCTGTGAGGCAGGATTTCGATGATTTCGACGGAATTCGGATTTCGGGATGTTGTTTGAGCTCAAGCTAGGGTGAGCCTCCCAGGAGCAGGTGACAGATTGTAAATACCTGAACTTCCACCATTTGATTTTGATGGTAGACATTCCCATAACTGAATAGGTTCAACGGCTAGGAGTTTTGCAATCGGGTTTGCAGTTGGAATCAGAGGGCCATTCCAGACCAAAGAGCAGATAGCCTTTCTTCGCTTTGATCAATCTGGGGAATTGCTCTCAGTCCATTGGACTGGGCTTGGGCAATATCATCAAAGGAAATTTAGTTAGAACACTTCCGAGTTACAGACGATGGTCATGGTTAGCATTCACACCATCATGCCAACCACATCATCATGTGAATCACGCATCATATCCCATCATCAAGTAGTTGCGGGTGAAAACATTCCCAGGCGCGAAACCATGTGTTTTTTCGGGGAATGTGACTCTTGAGGTCGCCAAAGTAAGGTCGCTGTTTCCGCGGTTGTGGGCCTCGAGCTGGGAAAGTTGTCGACAAAAAGCGCACAGGACTGTAGCGAGAGCTCGATTTGTATTTCAAAATTTTGTATGTTCGGAGCACCTTTGGAAGACGAGGTTGGCAAAATTTGCGCGAGACTGCAGCCAGAGCTCGATTTTGCACTTCAAATCCAAAAAAACAGCAGGGGTCGGAGCACTGTTGGAAAACGAAGTAGAAAAAGTGCATTGATTCATCGAGTCATTGATTCATTGGTTCATTGATTCATTGGTTAATTGCTTCATTGACTCACTCATTCGTTGATTCATAGGTTCACCCATTCTGTGGTTCATTGGTTGGTTCAGTCAGTTGTGCATGGATTCTTTCTGTTGTTTTATTAGCATCTCAACGACCATTTTGCTCATTCGTTGATTCACCTCACAACTTCAACAATTCATTGCTTCTGCATCGCAAAAAGTCGTATTAGTCTATAGGCCATTGCTTTCTTATAGCCACTTCATTTTGTCGAAACTTCCGGCCGGGCACTACCTGGTAAGAAACATATCTATAGCACCCCCTAAGAAAAAACAAAAATCAATTCCAGCTGAAATAGTGGTAAAATACTTCGCTATAGATGTTTTTCGTAAGTACAATAATTGCATATGAGTCCTAGCACGCCCTTCGTAGACTGTTTACTAACTTTACTGGTTCTGATTGCAGCCATCATATGCAGCCGTGAAATCGTGAGGCGTGAGGCAGATGGATTGGCCCTGGCAAAGCGTGTCGAGATGCAACTGCAGGTGGCCAAGGCCCACTTGGAGGGCGGAGGGTCACTTGGCGAAGGCTTCGGAATTTCTGGTCCCGTTGACCAAAAATACAGAAAAATGAGTTGTTGCTAGAAGTTGCTTAAGTGGTTTGTTTTGTTTCATATTTTTGAGGCTTTGACAGCTTCTGAAACAATTTTGCCGAGGCACTTTGCCAAGGTCTTCATTGCACAGATGGGAAGTTCCATTGGGGAGCACGCAAGCATCATTGTTTTGAAACTTGTCAGCAGTCGCTTCTAAAGACTTGGATCAGACCCCCACATTTCGCCATTTCGGGAATAATTCATTTGCAGAGCAAGTGTGTGCGGTTTTAGTGCAAAGACATTGTGAGACACAAGAGATCCAAGTTGAAATCGACATCTTTGACACATATTTTCAACGGGTGTCCACCAGGAAGGATTGCCAGTCGATTTTCTCCACCCCCGATGTGGTGACTTGGCAAAGTGCTGGTACGCACAAATCGTCATGTTTAGGGGTTAAAAACATTCATTTGGAACAGTTGATCATTTTTGAAAACCAATGTGATAGTTTTCTGTTGTTTTTTTGTGATACTGTCATGTTTCCAAACTGAAACTGATCTCTGTCTTAATTTCTCTTTGCAACGCAGCAAAATCCTGTCGCATCTCTGGTTATCATGCCAAAATTGACCCCTTTTGCTCTACCTAGCTTTCTTTCTTCTCACTTGCTTTTTGTTCATTGCAACCAGAGCTGGATTTGGTTGCTTTGACCTCTTTGAGGTCCATGGGTGCGTAATTTAATGATATTTAATGCATGTTTTCCGCAAACTGAAGGAGGGCCATTCTTTATTAGTGAACTTGCAACATCTTGCAACATCAGCCAGCTCCCCCAAGAAGACCTCCCGGGGTAACCAAGGCACCCACACCTCGCGGGAACTCTGCACACTTGTATGTGATGCTTGCCTTGACGTCACCATTTTCTTTCACAAGATGCAGGTGGCCATTGAGCATCACTTTTTGTGAACCCAGTCAATCTGTGTGGTATTTTGGGTGCAAAATGCTATGCAGGTGATAAACATTGATAGACTGGTGAAGATTCGAGTATCAAACATGTCAACCTCTAAGGATGTGCAAGAAAGGGAAAATCTCCATGGCCATCCGTAGCAAAGCCGAGAAAGTTCCCAACGATGCCAACGATGGAGATTTGACACAGAGTGGCGGAACCTGCCACGTGCTTGTGGATTTCGTAGGTGCGGAGCACACGGACTGGGGTGAAGTAGTGAAGTAGTGGTCATCCAACAATTGAACTGCTGGCAATATTGATCCGGGTGAGTTTTTTGTTGAAAGTTTTGATCTGTAGTTGTAAGGTTGTAAGCACCTCAATCAATCAACTCATCGCAGTGATAGTAAGCCACCAAAATATCATAAAATATCTACGGGATTGCAGCGGAGTGTATTCTCTTTTTAAGTGATTGGCATGACATCAGTTAAGGGGTTACAGGGTGACACTGGTGACACTGGTGACGCTCTTACTCCAGAAATCAACTTATCCCTAGAAATTGGGACCAGGCATGGACGGATCGGATCTCTTGGTGCATTGCCGCAATGTGCCCTGGTCGACGATTTCAAGGTCTTTTTACCATGTTTTACCCCAGCTCGGTTTTCCGTCAACACTTCCAGAGGGCCTTTACCCCAGCTCGTTTTTTGTTTGAGACCTTCCGTGGAAGCTTTGGGGGAAATCAAGCCTGTCATGCCTGGTGATAACCTTGGGATTTTGATACTTGAAATGTGCCCAATGAGGATTTCCAGCACATGAGATAAATTCCCATTCAAAACGCATCAACAGATATCAAAGCTTTAGTCTAGGTAGGAAATACTGAACCTTTCTGAGTGCTTGAGCGCTTTGTGGCAACAGGAACAGTCAACCCACCACTTTGGGATACGATGCAGCCCAGGTCCTTCTTCGCATGAACGGACCTTGGACAGAGGCGCAAGGTCTATGCCTTCTTTCTGCCAGGTCGGGCTGAGGGTCCAAGCGCCGAGGGTATACGGTCGAAGAAAAGACAGATCGAATCATATGGAATCGACAGCTTGACATAGCTTGACACAGCTTGACATAGCTTGACAGGCTCAACAAGGATACCATTCCTATCCATTCCTGCTTCTCTTGGTCGAGCGGAACTTTTTAATTTGATCCTCCTTTGGAAACCAGGCGCCTGACCAGCGCTGTGCAGCCAAAGAGCGATACCGCGACAGGCTAGGGCTAGGGCATCCCCTGGTTTGGCCACTAACGACCAAACGAAAATCTAGAAATATCCACTCAAATGACTCAAATGATCTTAAATGTGTCAGACAATGTCAGGAACCAAGCACTTGGCTACACATTGAACGAAAGATTCCTTCGCTGTAAGTGCCACCGCTGAAGGAAAATGATTATAAAGCGAGAAACCATGTGAATGTATTCAGTGAACATGGGTTCGCAACCGCAAATTGAGGGAAGATAGTCATTGCACCTAGTCAGCATGAATTCACTATAGTTTACTAATATTGGCAAGATCTATATTGACATGACGGCAAGACCCTGAGGTTTGCCTGGACTCTCAATGAGCGTTTGGACTCTGGACTATGCTTATGATGATGACGACGATGGTGATGGTGATGGTGATGGCGATGGCGACGGCGATGACGACGCTGATGCTGATGCTGATGCTGATGCTGATGCTGATGCTGATGCTGATGCTGCTGCTGCTGATGCTGATGCTGCTGCTGCTGCTGATGATGATGATGATGATGATGATGATGATGATGTATCATGCTTAACCCCAAACCACAAACCCTGAACACTAAACTCTAAACCCCATGTGAACTCGACTAGCTTGATTGTATTGTTCCACGCACAGAACATGTCTGATAATGTAGTGCAACTGGCATTTGGGGCTTGTGCAAACCTTGGGGTCTGTGTGTATTATGTGACCATACATTGGGATCACAACTTCTGGACTTGAATTTCTGGGAGTCTGTACGGTTTGGAAAGGTTACTCCAATCTTCAGTCTTCAAACAATTTCAAACACCTATTTTTGTACACGCAGATCCGCACTCCGAAGGCATGTCGTGCATCCTTTGTGTTCGCAATGCCAAAGCACCTGTGGATGAACTCGGTGTGATCGATGGACTGCACGTGGGTACAGCGCGGTGTGCGGAGGTGCTGGTCGACGGGTCGATGGGTCGATGGGTCGATGGGTCGATGGGTCGACGGGTTTGAGCCTTGGGGGTGGCAGCCAGACAGCTGCCAGGTTTGTTCTTGTTTTTGTTGACGATGATCACGAGGATAGTTTCCACTACCAAAACCACGATTGAATAAAGTATTCAAGCCTTGTTTTTGGACACCCGTAAACGGTAGAACGTTTTCAAAAAAAGGGATTCTTATCATGGAATAGGCGCTACACATGGACAATTTGGCGGCGTGGCGCTGCAAGTGACGGATCTTTGGCTGGGAGCCGTGGAGCCACCGCGGGGGGGCCGCCGGCGGGGCCGCTGGGACGGTCGAGGTATCATGAGATCTCGAAGCGTCTCACGACGGAAAACTAAGGTGGTCTGCCTTTGAGGTGAAGATTCCCCCTCGGAAACTGTTAGTTCAGGATCAAAAACCACCTTAAAGTCGTAAAACCGCTTGTTGAGAAACCTAAGACCTAGGCTGCATATGTTTGGTAATTAATGTTCGTTTTGTTTCAAATCAGTCAACTGATGACTTGGCGGGTCACAACTTGAAGCCGTGACTTTTTGAAGTTCAAGGTCACAATTTTCATTGTCGAGCTATTGGGCCATTGGTCACAGAATCAATTTTGATCCACGGTTCGCCCACTTGGACAGAACGTGATTTCCAGTTTGGGGACTTGGGGGGTGATTACTATCTGTGGGTGCCAAATTGGAGAATCCAATCCACCATTCAACGATTTAACAATTTCTTAAAGTAGGGAAAACCCTGGACTTGGGGAGTTTGGAGGTCCACATTGTCTCAACATACCCTCTATCGATCTCATCGTATATCGTGTACATGAAATCGACTGTGTAGTCAGTAAACCCAGCAAGGATTGAATTACCTGGTTATTACCTCGCGGCTGAGGTGCCTCGGGTCCGAATTCACTACGAGGGCAGCTGTGATGTGAGTCAAAAGGGTTGGACCGTGTCCATCAGATATGTTTGGCATTGTTTCGCCATGTTGCTCCGTTGCTCCTTTTCTTTAAAAGGACCAGCTTCGAGACCGCGGCTGTTGATTCTTTGGCACGTCGAGAGGCTCCACATCCTTAGCCCCGCTCTGCATGCCTTCCGCTGCGACGCTGGCAAGGGAAGCTTCCGCCCCGTACTCGTACCAAAGATACTACCTTGGACAAGTCCTGTCATTGTGAGGCGATCATACCATGCCACATGCCATATCATGGTAATGCATATAACAAAGTAATACAAAGTATTTCGGACAGATGAATGCGCTTGGCATTCATTTGTTGGAAATGGGGTGGGAATGAGGGAACTTTTTTTTTAACTAAAGTGGGATGGTCAGCATCCTTCGCGAGATGGACCTCCCTTGGTTTGCATTGAATGATCCTGCAAGTCTTGGTATCATCAATTAACCATCCAAACAACTCTTGGTATCGACACTGCGGAAGGTTATGGCTTGTTGCTTTGGGGTTGCAGGAGGTTTTCTGAAGAGCTTACTTTGAAGCCATTGGATGCATCAAGACATTAAGACAGATTGTAACTGCGCATCTCCACTCTCCAAGGACCTGCCGAAAAGGCTTGGGCGTATCAAGATTTTGAGACAAAGGGACACACTTGGGGGGACACACTCATGGTTGAGCCCTTGTGTGCGGTATGAACCTTTGCCAGCCAAGGCAGTGCTTATATACAGCTGCACCGCGTGAATTCATCAAAATTAAGTCATTCTGAAGCACTGCAGTCTTTAATCCTTTTTGTGCTTCCAGCGGATATTGGTAGAATGCAATTGACATGAGACCGCCTGGGCAGCTAGGATGGCTACTCAGCCTATTTCAGCCTCCTCACCATCTTTGCCACCAAACCATCCAAACCCGGCTACTTCGGAAGAGTGAACCCCAGGCTGCACAGCATCTCGTGAGCCTTTCCCCGGCATCCTCCGGGGTCTGACGGGCAGTAGTGGTGATTGAGACCATTTCCCGCGATGAATTGTGGTCAGAATTCATTTGAGTCTGAGATCTTTGGATGGAAGTCGATTCCCGAATGCGTAGCTATTCAGTATGCAGCATGTGTACGAAGGAGTTCCTGCATGGTTTTCAGCACAAACGTCGCCTCATGGTTTGCTTTCAAGTTGGCTTTCTACTCTTTGTTTTGGAAGCTGGCCCCGGGGTGCGGACGTTGCAGGGTCGGTCCGGATGTAAAGTGTAGTCCCGTAGCAGTTCAACAAGCTTGCTTGAAGGTTGAAGGACTAATACTTGAAGTTGCAACCCAACAATTATCGCACGCAATGGCATGCAATAAATTCAATGAATAGTTTTCCTGCTCCAGCCTTAGTACAAAGCGGGTCTTGGATTTTCACTACACTTCATGCCTGTCCGCCCGTTCCAAAGCGGCAAGCACCCTCCTCGAGCTTGCACCCAGACTGTGAGTGAGTTTAGTGTCGACTAAGAAGGGGATTTCTACGATTGTTTTGTGGATTTCGACTAAGAGGTATTCTATGTTATTCTATTTCATCCAATGTCACACATCCTGTTTTGGCGATGTTTGCATGGTTGTGCGTCTCATCGCTTCGTGGAGGGTCGAATTCGACTTAGTGAGCTATGGGCAACTCCACTGGTGTGTGCCATTTTCAACGTGCATGAGCTTTCTCCGTGATCAGAGCTGCCATAAGGGCTTCATCAGTTTGTTGAAGTATTTTAAGCATTTCCATCATTCTAAACAATCCAAACTCAATTTGGATGCAGAGTTCGTGCAGACTTTCTGCATACACACGCGCAGTCAGTCTTTTCCAATGTTGGACATTCTTGGACTGAACTTTCTTGTCAACTGGCGCTCTGAAGGGGTCCATTTGCGAAGTAGGAGAGTTGGACAAATCCCTTCTGAAGCTGCCCGGCTTTGGAGGGCGCATGCAGTTCCCAGCATTTTTCCCAGACTTGTCCTGCTTTGCCCGATTTTTTGCGTGAATAAGAGGCACCACAAGAGGCCATCGACCAGTGGTGCAGAGGTGATTTGCTAGACATTGCGCTGTACGAGCAAGACCAAAATCACTCTCGAATGCAGGATTAGTACAGACATTATATATTACAGCAGCCCCCTTCGATAGTCGTGCCAGGTGGCAATTTTGAGCGCTTTGTGTGCAAAGTTCCAAACCCAGCTTTTCCAGACCTTAGTCTTCCTGTGGTGTTTTGAAGTCTGAAAGTCTGCTGCCTGGCGCCAGTGCCACAGTTGACCAACCATTGTGGTGCTGGCCGCGTTTGTTTTGGGGTGTCGCTTGCAACATTTTTGCATGAACACAGTTGGCCTTTTTGCTAAGAGCCGGTGCTATGGGCCTCCACCGTACACCTGGAAGCAACCAGTTAGGAGGTCGGTCAGCGACGCCGTGTCGCACGTCGGCGTCTTTTGAAGCTTGAAGACGCTTGAACACATAGAAAAGACATTGGTGTTCATTGGTGTCTTCCGTATTGACTGGCACCCGGATGAAAACGGCTCCTCTTCAGCGAGATTTTTTTTCAACTCAGGAATTGAGAATGGGGTGATCGAGGCCTATGACTGGGTCTTCAAATTCTGTGACCTTTTTCTTGAAACAATTGTAGTGATAACCACCTGCTAATTTCTGCTTGAGGAGGAGGAGCCTGCTTCAATCAGATGCCCACAGATAAGAAGAGGAAAAGATCTGGTATTGGCAAGATCATTGGCATACATGTCCGCGTTGTAAGTGACCGGCTGGGGCGTGTTGATTTGGTTTTGTCTTGTCATAACCTGAGCGTTTCTCTGCAGGGCTGGTGCGTGGTGGATTTGGGCACAATCCCAATGTTTTTGCGCAAAACTGCTTTTTGAATCTTTTTGAATGATTTGTGTTTGCAAAAGTATGCAAAAGTTTTCTTTTTGTTGGCTCTTGTGTTTTGGTTGGTGTTTCCATTAAACAACCTTGGTTGTCTGGTGGCATGATTGATTTTGAAACTGAGCTCATGGATTCCCATTCCCATTTCATGGTCAACACTCAAAACTATCCAACAGTTCGCGGACAAAAAAATGACATATGCCACAACTAGTAGCCACATGTGTCCGTTTCAGGTTGATTGTTTGTGCTTGCATGCAGCTGGTCCGGGCCAACAATGATTGCTGACAATTGACACACACACACGCACACACACACATGCACACACACACATTGAATACTAGTAATTACAGTAACTCATGGGTTCCAAGTTACGTGTTGTCCGGGCTCATTCCGTCAAGTGTTGCTTTGGTGCGATCATCATATTCGTGCGAAGCAATGCATGCCGTGACAGCCGTGACATTCAGAAAACATCATTGCAAAACAGATAAAACAGGTGCATTGGACAGCACCGTTCGGACCGTTTTCCAGCAATTTTAGCTCCGGCTTGTGATGCTCATGGCTGAGGGCATTGTGGATACTCAGGAGACCCGGTTCAAATCGAACTCGAACATATTCCAGAACCATTTATCAACCACAACATGAAATCACGACCGCAAGCGTACAATTTGGATCATTCAAAAAGTGTTTTGGAGACTTAATTGAACGGCAAAAATCTAGAACCCATGTACGGATTTGCACATGGGATCTTTTGCATGGTTGAATTGTTACACGAATCTGGATCGCATATCAAATGGTTCCAACAAATCGTTGAACATTGGTTTCTTGACGGCACTGTATGCAAACACCGGATTGCGATTTCAGTTTTATTCACAACTTCGGTGGTTTGGTTGAATGTTATGATTAGAATTGATTAGATATGATTAGTGCAATTCACGGCCTTTAGTTTTGTAGATCCATGTGGATATCCACCAGATTCACCAGATCATTCGATCATTCGTGAGGCTTTCGTGGAGGCGCTGATGACTATGCCTCGAGAGCAAGCTGTGGCGGTGTTGGGGGAACTCCTCCGAAATCGTCCGACCTTGGCACCGCGCCTCGGTGCAGTGCTTGACGGAGTTTATGAAATGTTTCTGGTTTTCGGCCAAAAGTTGCGGAACAATCAGAAATGAATACAATGAATACAATGAATGAAACATATGAAATATATTGAAATGTTACTTATATATTTATGTATATAATTTATATACGTATTTTCTGTTTGTGATTGTCTGGGATTAATGACACATGGCTAAATGCCGAAGATGCAACAGAGACATCACCAGAAACCAAGGTAGGTTCCCCCTCCAGTGTACTCTTGCCGTGCCAAATGCCGCAGCGTTCCAGTTTTTGGTTTCTTTGGTTGAGGGTGTGGATTTTTTACTTTTTAGTTGGGTGTGAAATTCCCGTTCATTTGTACTGACTGTTTGGGACGAAAGGGTCCTAAACCATAACTCGAATCGGTGCCCTCGGTGAAACTGTTTGGCAACTGAGGTCAATCGTTGGCTTCGCATGTCCTGATTTGCAGGGAGCACTCAGCCTGGCTCGGCCGTTGTGGGTTTTGAGAGTTGTGCATGTTAAGAACCAAAATCGTATCGTTTGGATGGACATGGACGGAACAAATTTTGACAATGAAATGATTTGATTGCTGTTGGCAATCAAGAATCGCATGTTAAGGAATCATAATTTCCTGCGTGAGACAAACGGCAACATTTCTCATGTTCGCAAAATTCTGTATCGTTTTGGTTGCTCAATGAGAGCTTTTGTATTGTCAGACTCTTGAACAAATCATGGACCCAAGACCCACCTCACCTTGACCAAAAGAGTTGGGTTGCTTGCATGACTGCAAAATTGGTATAAATAGGTCACTTGACTCGTGGCATTAGGCATGCAACGTCAGTATCTAATTTTGAAGTGTGCTCTGTTTGAACTCTTTGCTTTTGGTGAGGTGATTCCACTTTTTGTTTTGTTTGATTGTATCAAATTGTATGACATTGTTGTTTCCTTGGCATAGCGGCACAACTGGCCAAATCCACAACCATCCTCCTTCAACTTCAGCATTCACCGAGAACCTATGCGCCAGCACGAGGGATGACAGCTGGGGCCCAAGTGCAACCCCGTTGACCCAGATGTAATGTCAAAGAGTCAACCACTCAATCATGTAGGCTTGAATCTAATGCAATACTACGACAAGTAAATATAAATGTAAATATACATATGAATATAAGTATAAGTAAATGATATACGTATATAATCGTATATATATATATATATACACAATTTGTTCGAATCCTTAGTTGACCGTAGTTGACCCATTCCAATGCTTTGGGCAACAGACTGGTAAATCTTTGTCCCCAGGAGAAGCGAGCCATGGGTACACTGAAGCTGGAGATCCCAGTCCGGGAACGGAAACATACGGAAACTTGTGGACATGAGAGACATGAGAGACATGAGAGACATGAGAGACATGAGAGACATGAGATTTGCGTCGTGTTGTGTTTCTCTGTGTAGATGAATAGCATGAATAGCGCACAAAGCAGAAATGTGAGTGACAGGTGCTGACTTGTTTCGTCTTAAAGGTTATTTGCAAAAAGAACCAGAAGGAAAACATAATGCCAACGGACGTGTGTTTCTTGGAGTCACCTGATCAAAGTTTAGGTGAAACGGTGAAACCATCAATAAGTAGCTTGTCACAGCTTCTCACAGCCTGCCACAGCTTGTAGCAGCTGTTGGTTCTGCCCCCCCTGGTGGATGCTGGTCGTGATTCCACAACCTGAGCCCAGTGGCCCAGTGCTCAGGTCGTTTTCCGCCAAGACGGGCTTCGGTTTTATCGCTTGCCCAGAGCTTCACGAGGCCATTGTGATGTCAATGTAATATGATATAATAATATAGTAAATATATATAGACACATTATTATATTAATAATATTATATATAATCTATATATCTCAATCTTTTTTTGCTGATTTCCTTCCCACTCAGACAATCTGACAAGAACATTCAAGAACATGTTGCAAAAACTAGTTTTAAGTCCCTCTTGCTTCAGCAACACAACATGGCTGGATCAGTGCAACTGTGCTTTTACCAGAGATAACCCCCGCCAGCACAGCTCACAATCAGATGGTCGTGGGCTGGATCCGTTTTTTTTTGGCAACTAGAAGGCACATGAAGGCACATCATCTTAGCATGTTACTGTATATAATACAATTTAACACACAACTTTTGCAATACCCTTTTGAACCTGGGATCCACAGGTATGACACGTTTCTGGGGTATGCGGTATGCGGAATCCCTTCACCAGCAACATTTTGGAACATATAGTTGGCACCTCTTGACAGGCATGTTTCTAACACACCTTGGGAGACACTGCAGACGCCTTTTTTACGCACTCTGAAGAACACTTGTCGACGACTCTTGCAACAGACTTTTCTTTCTCCCTTTCCTGCCCTGCTCTTCTCCTTCCCCTTACGGCCCTTACCCAACCCTGCTATCGTTCCTTCCCTCTGGCCTCAAGTTTGGAAAGGGTTGGTCCCACAAAAAGGTTGGGCCCTCCAACCCACCAGCAGACTCCCGTTGTTGACCCTGCATTTGCAGGTCTTTGGGGCAGATGTCTTTGTGTGCCTGAGCAGCAGGATCTTTCTGGACATGTCAGCATTGTCAGCCCCTTCCAGTCGATGGAGTTGATGAAGTTGATGACTTCTATGAACAGACTCTTTTGGTCTCTTTCGCTCCTATTTTGATTGGCGCTAGCAGTAGAATTAGTAGACAGCACAATATTTTCTTGATTCGAATTAATTTGAGAAATTTGAGTAGAATGATCACAGCACTGGTGCCAAGTCACAGCGGAATTTGTGAGGCACATCAAGCAGATGGGACCCTTTGCTTCTGTCTTGACACCAGGGACTGGCTTCGGGTGGGTCCGGGTCCGGGCGTTGTGTCCATTTTTGACATTCTGTAACTGGCAACAGATGACCCTCTCAAGTTTCGAGGTTAGCATTTGCACTATGTTGCACTGTTTCCCAGGACAGCCGTCACGTTCGCAGTGGTTATCGGCAAGGACTGTAGTGGTCAATCTTTGGGCCACTGCGGGGCCTTGTTTGGGTGTGGGCAAGTTGCACACTTTGAGAGCCAAAACGTCATAAGTCTACCATGTCTAGTCTAGCTGCCTAGCTGGAAGAGCTAGAAGCTTTTGGCTCAGGCCAGAAGCAACCCAGAACTTTCTCGGAAGGTAAGAAGTTTAGAGCCGCTCGAGTCACCCAGATGAGTGCCATTGCATTTCCAGGAGAACAAGCCGCAAGCGTGCGGCATGGGAGGGTCGGCGAGTCCTCGGGAGCTGAAAATGCAAACTGATGGCCAAAACTGGCCATCTCAAAGTTGGTCCCAAATCATTTCACGGGGATGTGAGGCACCCAAGTTGAGAAAGCAACTTCATCTGGATGTACTTTCTGTTGATGGGTTAGGGTCATTCATGTTGAACAAGACTAGCAAGACTCTCGATAAGTGCTTTTTTTTTTGGCGCAGACACAAAAGTGGCTTTGTTTTCTGGTTACTTACAGCCTGAGAATTTGTGATGTAACTTCGATGGATTATCATGTACAAGAAATCGTGATTTCCGACATGGTCATTCCTCTGGGGTTTCTCTTGAAACCTTTTAGAGTGACGAGAAAGGCAGGTTTTGTTGCCAGGGGTAGAAATATGGCTGGTCGAACTCAAGAGACACTGGAGGTACGATGTTCAGCCTATGGACGGAGTGCAGGGGAACCCAAGGACTTACCCCCTGTTAAACCTAACCAGCATCATTGGAGAAGGTGGATGTGGGAAGGTAAAACTAACGGTGGAATCCTGCATTGTCATTATCATCCTCGAGAAAGAAAGGCAACAAAGGTCTCAGCTTTGTCACCCGAGATTCTCACATTCCAAATCTTTGCCCCAAGACGGACCGTGCTAAGCTTGGCAGAGAGCATTATCCAAAGTGTCGGCGAGACCATGCAGGCGCAACTCAACAGTGCCTCACATTCGATCCTTGTTGGACTTAGCTCAGTTTGTAGTGGCCGCCGCCACGGATGAAAGTATAGTATTTCAGTCGCTTGAGTGAGGTAGAAACTTGCAGAAATGTGAAACATCAAGTTGTCTTTTCAATTCTTTTCATGGACGAGTTGCGATAGCTCAACTTGTGTTTGTTCAGGCGATGTTAGATTCAAGATGATTCAAGTGGGAATTTCGGCCAGGACATGTCGATGGGCCCAATGGCCCCGATGGCCCCCATGGCCCCGATGGGCCCCATGGCCCCGATGGGCCCCATGGCATTTGCCGCACCTGGCCTGGCCGCGGGACCTTTCGTGCCTCCCTATGGGGACTTCCAAGGCTGGCTGTGGAGAGGTCAAATCTAGTGATCTGAGCCATGGCAGCCATTGTTGATCGGACTCCATGTGTTTGACCATGTGTTTGACGTAGTAAGAAAAGGCACAAGAAGATATCTAGAAGATATCAAGAAGAGAATAACCTGACATGTTTCACGGATTGGAGTTGCTTGACCAATACCTTGAAGTTATTCTTGAATCATTTTGAAGCTGGATTATTCATGATTATTTGGCAATTATTTGGGTTATTCGTCGAAATTCAGGTGTACCTCCTGGCGGTATTCCACAACCGGGCCCCCCGAGTGGCACGGGTGGTGCCAAGCGAAAGTGGGACGTCCGGGGGCTTGGATCGGCGTGTGGTGGATTCCAGTGGTGCAATCTTTAGAGACTTTGCCGATTGTAATCTGATGTAATCTGTTGACATTTTTCTTGGCGTTTAACAGGTTTTCACTATCTTTCACTCATTTTGGCTGCCCAAGCCGAAGCATGGACTTAGGACTGGAGTGGCTGAAAGACCAGCAAAGATGTACAATTACTTTAGGTAGTGGTTGTTTGAGTGGAGTCCACCAGATTTTTTCGCAGAAAGGAATTGGGTCAAAATGCTTCAAACATATACATGAGATTAGGTGCTTGCATAAAAAGGGTGACCGAATCTGTGAGTATAGACAATATATGACAATATAGGAAATCATTCAGAAACGGCTTGACCTGTCAACAGTTCCATGAGCCATGAACCATACCATCATCATAGTGGGATTTCACCACTTGAGCTATAGGATCTTTGTACAAGGTAAACAAAGGGTGCGTTGGCAACAGGTGATTCAACCAACAGGGAGGATGCTTGGAGTTTTTCGAAATTGATTGCCCGACAAAGCCTTCGGAAACCCCAATATCTTGGCTCCCCAGTCTTACTGTGGTTGCAGGATCCTTCAGCTGAGCTGGGACGCTATCGCGGAGTGCAGCTTGGACCAGTTGTAGATGTGCCACATCATTGCCATCATTGCCATCATTTTCCATCATAACCATCATTAACCATGGATCATCTTTTATTTTCCGAATCGTTCTTAGTTGTTCTTTCATCTTTCATCTTTTATCAGCTTTGTCAGCCACGGCTCACCACAACGAGGGTGAAGAGCTTCAACGGCACCAAGGGCTTTGGCTTCATCATCTGTGAGGCGAGAGATTTGGGACTCAGAAAAAACATGAAAAAACAACACGCCAGGCCGCCAAACATTGCTTAACAAAATGTAAACCATTTTGGGTTTACATTTTGGCTTTATTTCGAGCTATGTAGATTGTGGGTGCAACGAAGCGGGTGTACTGTTTGTGGATTTGTTGACATTTCTTGTGCCCTTTGAAGTCCTTTTGAACCTTCTGGTAGGGAAAAGTTTTCTGGTCCGACAAGTTTGATAAATACATCATACATCAATATGAGAAAAACACCCCGCAAGTTTGAGGCGTGAACCGAAACTTTTATTGCAGGAAACATGATGACACCCTGACTAGAAACCTAACAACATCTAACAACTTTGTGTGTGGCGACTGTGGCGACTGTCGCGTAAACTACAGGAGCTTCAGCAGCAGGGCTTTCCGCAGGACGTCTTCTTGGGCCAAGCGCAGGCGCCACCCACGTGTCAGGCGCGGCAATGAGAACCAGTGACACTCAGAGAAAAGGTCATCCTACCAAAAGGACACGAAAGTCCCTGCAGGATACTTCTAAAAGCCGCTAGGAAACAGAAACTTTCCCAGTTGGTTTGTTGATGTTTTTGTTTGGCTGATCCTCTCCAATGAGGTTTGATGTAGCTCTTGAAAAACTCGAGAGTGGTTGAAGTTGTGATCCATCACCTCTGAAAGTTTTTGCACGGCAAGAAAACAGACAGCATTGCCACCACAGCTGGAATGTAGCGACGCACTCGGGTTTTAAAAGTGTATTTCTTCTTAAGGAAAAGGCAATGGGGGGTTAAGCCAAGGAATAGTCATCTAAGTGTCAAAGCCGTGGGCGCCTCATGGCGACACGCAATTAGTTGCAGACTTGACTGATTGAATCCGAAGGTTCCGAAGGTTCGGAAGGTTCCGAAGGTTTAGTTCGAGCTTTCGGGAAAGATGTTCGTTTGGACATTACCACTCCAGGCTGGCGCCAATGTGAACTTCACGGCCTTTCTCAACGAGAGGAGCCAACCTCAAGCCAAGGCGAAGGGTTGGCAAAACCATTGGGATGATAGGAGTTTGGAAGGAGAAGAGATGAGAAGTTCTTCCTTTTGAACCTTTTGAGCTGTTAACCATGGACTTCCTGTTTCCTATCGAACTTACAATTGACCTGAAGTGCATGAAGCTGATTTAAACTTGTCACCATTTGTTTTGGGATTTAGCGTATTTGATTGATTTTAATTCTCTCAGATTTCATTCCAAAATTGTGGCTGAAGTGTCATGCGATAGTTTGCAATTCTGAGGGAAGTGTGAGGATTGCAAAGAACAGAAAACGATTTTATGCCTAGGGTTAAGCAGTGTTCGGGACGCACAAATATGAGCCAAACGTGGACGTGGTCTTTCCGTGCCGTCAGAATGTGGAGATCATCTGAGTGGGGGAGCTCTTGCTGATCCAAATTTCAAGACGACTGATCGTGTGGAGACATGAGGTGTCCCCAAAACGGAACCAAAATAGTCTGAACAAGGGAGTCATTGATCCCTGCATTCATCGAATTTCCTTATTCCATTTCTTTGCTGGCAATCTTGTCTGGACTGACTGGAGCCAAGACGGCTTCATCAATGAATCGACACGTGCTGATTCCAAGTTTGGGTAGATTTGTTGACGTCCAAAATCGTGTCATTACCAATCTTTGACAGTGCAAACAAATGATATAACACAAGCATCATTAAACATCCATGTGCAGTCTAAGAGGTTGTGTTCCTAGGCAATTCTTTTGAAGTAGGACACTTCTACCTGTATGGTGGGAATGTAGCTTGAGATGGTCAAAGCTACTCAGCACTCAGAATGTTGGAACCAGCGTTGGGACGAAACCGGGCACCAGACCCGGATGACTAGATCGTAGGCATTTCGTAGGCCATGTTGCAACCGCTTGTGGTTGTCTGTTGCAGCTGCTCAAGTGCCTTGACTCACTGGCGTGTCCAAGTGCAAAAAATGTAAACACGTGTGAGTTTTACTGGGGCTGTGAGCAGGTTTGACATCCCTTTTGTGATTTTGGGAGAGGGAAAAACTGTGGCCACAATTCGCTTAATTCACTGGTTTGGGTTCGAAACTCACTTGAAGCGCGCAACGTTGCTAACATTAGTGCACATGCGGTGCACAGCGTTTACAACCTATCCGGGTCAGCATAGGGGATGCTGAAGCGTCGCCCCACCTTGTGTACTTCAAGGCACACGTTCTCCGGTTGGTGTGCAGCTGGTGCTTCCAATTGCTTTCATATATTTGGTCACACGCGTCACGTCTTGATTCGCACTTGCTAGAAAAACGCGGCCTGTCAGCCAATGTACTACTGCTCTCGCCGGAATCACAGGGCCTGTAAGCAGATTTCTTGTGGAATTTGTTGGTTGGGATGTGATTTCATACCACTGGCTCTGGAATTGTGAAGGGTGTCAGTTGTCTGAAGGTGTTTTGCTTTGTGCTTCTGGAAATGCACTGCTTCCTAGGAGCTCTTGAAAATCACTTACTTGAAATGCTTTTGCATGTTGGCAAATTGTTTTTTTCTCTTGCTGGCTTATGGTTCTGCACGTCATCGGATTCAGAGATGCATTTGCTGGAAGGGCGGTGCTTGCCAGTAGGCAGTTTCGCTTTTGTTCTGCTCTCCTTAAAAAATGGTGACAGATTCAAGGCCGCATACAATACCTTGCAAGCGACCTTAAAACATTACATTGGTTGTCAAGATCTAAATTGTGAACAGAGCTGCAAAGCTTTGCTTCTTGAAGACCTGCTTGTAACCTTTCTTTTTTTCGCCTCAAAGAAATTTCAAAGACTAGGACCCTTTCAGTAGTTTGTCTTCCCTGTGCAGAGAAGCGTCAAAGTCGGGAAACTGGTCTGATGAAATTCAACCACTACTTCAGGTCTGTCCGCAAACAATTTTGTAGCAACTTCGCACTTGTGACAGCAAATGCGCAGATTTCTTATTTTCCGCGGTTTGCGTGGATGTAAACCAAATTCAAAAAAGAAACAACTTAGGACTTAGGAAAAGGAAAGTTGGAAGAAATGGTATCAGTGACAATTGAACTAATTAGGGACGCATGGCCCTTGGGCACACTCTTGCACATTTTGGCACTTTATCAGCGTATTCTGGAAAATTGTTTAGGAATAGTTGATTCATAATGTCGACAATGGATTCGTCTTGTGTTGGATGTTCAGACCACATGAATCGATAGAAAACAGGCAGACAAACTCAGAAGTGCAAATTCGCTACGATGGGGAGCGCGCCGCTGCACGACGGACTCAGCAAGGAACATTTCAGAAACGTCCGTGGGTAGTTCGTTTCCGACCGGAATTTGCGACACAAATGCATGGCAACAAACAAAATCAATCCAAACATCACCAAATTTACCACAACAAACATCGAACCGCTACAAGTAGCAACAAAAATCGCAAACAAAACTGACATTGTGCAGGATGTTTAATGCTCGTTGTTACCTTGCCACAAAAAAACTTTGCGCAACACGATGCGTTTCCAAGTTTGCGCCTCAAGAACATTAGGCAATGGAACGTTGCAGCTTAGAACGTTGCACATCGTTGATTTGATTCAATGAACAAAATTTTCGTTTGCATCTGTGTGAAACGCTGGCTGGGTGCAGGTAAACAGCTGGACCTCTGCGAATGCTGTGCCTGTCAGGGGATTTCGTGTACATCTACGTGAAACGCTGGCTGGGTGCAGGTAAACAGCTGGACCTCTGCGAATGCTGTGCCTGTCAGGGGATTTCGTGTACATCTACGTGAAACGCTGGCTGGGTGCAAGTAAACAGCTGGACCTCTGCAAATGCTGTGCCTGTCAGGGGATTTCGTGTACATGTACGTGAAACGCTGGCTGCGTGCAGGTAAACAGCTGGACCTCTGCAAATGCTGTGCCTGTCAGGGGATTTCGTGTACATGTACGTGAAACGCTGGCTGGGTGCAGGTAAACAGCTGGACCTCTGCAAATGCTGTGCGTGTCAGGGGATTTCGTGTACATCTACGTGGAACGCTGGCTGGGTGCAGGTAAACAGCTGGACCTCTGCAAATGCTGTGCCTGTCAGGGGATTTCGTGTACATCTACGTGAAACGCTGGCTGGGTGCAGGTAAACAGCTGGACCTCTGCGAATGCTGTGCCTGTCAGGGGATTTCGTGTACATCTACGTGAAACGCTGGCTGGGTGCAGGTAAACAGCTGGACCTCTGCGAATGCTGTGCCTGTCAGGGGATTTCGTGTACATCTACGTGAAACGCTGGCTGGGTGCAAGTAAACAGCTGGACCTCTGCAAATGCTGTGCCTGTCAGGGGATTTCGTGTACATCTACGTGAAACGCTGGCTGGGTGCAGGTAAACAGCTGGACCTCTGCAAATGCTGTGCCTGTCAGGGGATTTCGTGTACATCTACGTGAAACGCTGGCTGGGTGCAAGTAAGCAGCTGGACCTCTGCAAATGCTGTGCCTGTCAGAGCATTTCGTGTACATGTACGTGAAACGCTGGCTAGGTGCAGGTAAACGGCTGGACCTCTGCAAATGCTGTGCCTGTCAGGGGATTTCGTGTACATGTACGTGAAACGCTGGCTGGGTGCAGGTAAACAGCTGGACCTCTGCAAATGCTGTGCCTGTCAGGGGATTTCGTGTACATGTACGCTGGGTGCAGGTAAACAGCTGGACCTCTGCAAATGCTATGCCTGTCAGGGGATTTCGTGTACATCTACGTGAAACGCTGGCTGGGTGCAAGTAAACAGCTGGACCTCTGCAAATGCTGTGCCTGTCAGGGGATTTCGTGTACATCTACGTGAAACGCTGGCTGGGTGCAGGTAAGCAGCTGGACCTCTGCGAATGCTGTGCCTGTCAGGGGATTTCGTGTACATCTACGTGAAATGCTGGCTGGGTGCAGGTAAACAGCTGGATCTCTGCGAATGCTGTGCCTGTCAGGGGATTTCGTGTGCATGTACGTGAAATGCTGGCTGGGTGCAGGTAAACAGCTGGACCTCTGCAAATGCTGTGCCTGTCAGGGGATTTCGTGTACATCTACGTGGAACGCTGGCTGGGTGCAGGTAAACAGCTGGACCTCTGCAAATGCTGTGCCTGTCAGGGGATTTCGTGTACATCTACGTGAAACGCTGGCTAGGTGCAGGTAAACAGCTGGACCTCTGCAAATGCTGTGCGTGTCAGGGATTTCGTGTACATGTACGTGAAACGCTGGCTGTGTGCAGGTAAACAGCTGGACCTCTGCGAATGCTGTGCCTGTCAGGGGATTTCGTGTACATGTACGTGAAACGCTGGCTGTGTGCAGGTAATCAGCTGGACTTCTGCGAATGCTGTGCCTGTCAGGGGATTTCGTGTACATCTACGTGAAACGCTGGCTGGGTGCAAGTAAACAGCTGGACCTCTGCAAATGCTGTGCCTGTCAGGGGATTTCGTGTACATGTACGTGAAACGCTGGCTGGGTTCAGGTAAACAGCTGGACCTCTGCAAATGCTGTGCGTGTCAGGGGATTTCGTGTACATGTACGTGAAACGCTGGCTGTGTGCAGGTAAAAAGCTAGACCTCTGCAAATGCTGTGCCTGTCAGGGGATTTCGTGTACATGTACGTGAAACGCTGGCTGGGTGCAGGTAATCAGCTGGACTTCTGCGAATGCTGTGCCTGTCGTCAGGGGATTTCGTGTACATGTACGTGAAACGCTGGCTGTGTGCAGGTAAACAGCTGGACCTCTGCGAATGCTGTGCCTGTCTGGGGGTTTCGTGTACATCTACGTGAAACGCTGGCTGGGTGCAAGTAAACAGCTGGACCTCTGCAAATGCTGTGCCTGTCAGGGGATTTCGTGTACATGTACGTGAAACGCTGGCTGGGTGCAGGTAAACAGCTGGACTTCTGCGAATGCTGTGCCTGTCAGGGGATTTCGTGTACATCTACGTGAAACGCTGGCTGTGTGCAGGTAAGCAGCTGGACCTCTGCAAATGCTGTGCCTGTCAGGGGATTTCGTGTACATCTATGTGAAACGCTGGTTGGGTGGAGGTAAACAGCTGGACCTCTGCAAATGCTGTGCCTGTCAAGGGATTTCGTGTGCATCTACGTGAAACGCTGGCTGGGTGCAGATAAGCAGCTGGACCTTTTGCAGATGCTGTGCCTGTCCGGGGATTTCGTGTACATCTACCTGAAACGCTGGCTGGGTGCAGGTAAACAGCCGGACCTCTGCAAATGCTGTGCCTGTCAGGGGATTTCGTGTACATCTACGTGAAACGCTGGCTGGGTGCAGGTAAACGCTGGACCTCTGCAAATGCTGTGCCAGTCAGGGGATTTCGTATGCATCTACGTGTTTCGCTGGCTGGGTGCAGGTAAACAGCTGGACCTCTGCAAGTGCTGTGCCTGTCAGGGGATTTCGTGTACATCTACGTGAAATGCTGGCTGGGTGCAGGTAAACAGCTGGACCTCTGCAAATGCTGTGCCTGTCAAAGGATTTCGTGTGCACTTACGTGAAACGCTGGCTGGGTGCAGGTAAACAGCTGGACCTCTGCAAATGCTGTGCCTGTCAGGGGATTTCGTATACATCTACGTGAAACGCTGGCTGGGTGCAGGTAAACAGCTGGACCTCTGCAAATGCTGTGCCAGTCAGGGGATTTCGTGTGCATGTACGTGAAACGCTGG